GTTTTCTAACAGTTTATTTCAAATTGTGAATTACATCAGTATTTACTTTCTAGAAAATGCTTATTCTGTGTTTAAAATACAAAAAAATAAAAAGATTTCTTGAAAAAACTGTTGTTATTTGATGTGAAACCTCAAAGTTTCAAGTTCCAGCAATAAAAATAACTTTAATTTTAAATAGTTGCAATATTATTAGGTTACTCAGTGAGACTTGTTAGAAGTTTGACAGAAAAATTATTTATATCTTTATTGTTGCCAATTGTTTCTCTCTTTTTATTTTAGTAAGTTTCTCTTCAAGTTACAGTATTATAAATTAGGTGTGCTTGATATCAGTAAGGTTGTTTTCTGGTTTTAATAGTTAAGAGTGTATACAAACAACAAATATAATTTTATTCAGATTTATCAAACTCAAAGATGCAACAACAGCAACTTTTACAGTAGGAAAATTCTGATATTAATTATTACAACATTTTGACCCATAGTATCACATTGTAATTATTAAAATCAAACTTTCCATTCTGAAAAAGCTGCTGATATTGTATTTTTGAATTAATTAATAGGTACATTCCTCAAAAAAACACGAACCTCAAACCTAATTGTTTTTGGTTTCTAATAAATCTGCCAAAGAACTATATAAATCAGTTTCCCTTTGAGAAGTGTTAGAAAAGTTTGTGTTCTCACATTTCACATTGATGGTCTTTCTTTGCTTGAAAAATTTATTCGAGTTAGCCTGTACGAGAACATGATGCTGCTTCCTGCTTTCTTCTTGTTATGATTAGTATAGTTACTAGTCATTTTGGGGTATTTTGACACGTAGGATCATTTAGTTGACATCGTACATACATGAAGAAATACTCTTTGTTTGTCCAATTACTATTTGTCTCTAAGCCCATGATATTTAGGCTCCCAGAGTGGTTCGAACAATATAGGATGCTCACATCAGTCAGATTTTTATCACTTCACTGTGTTGATTGTTTGATTTTCTTTGTAAATAATGTTCCATGGTTCTTTCCTTATTTTACTTGACACACGTTAATAATGTTCAGTGGTTCTTTACTTATTTTACTTGACACGTTAATAATGTTCTGTGGTTCTTTACTTATTTTACTTGGCACACATTAATAATGTTCTGTGGTTCTTTACTTATTTTAATCGACATGTTAATAATGTTCTATGGTTCTTTACTTATTTTACTTGGCACACATTAATAATGTTCTGTGGTTCATTACTTATTTTAATTGACATGTTAATAATGTTCTATGGTTCTTTACTTAATTAACACACGTTAATAATGTTCTATGGTTCATTACTTATTTTAATTGACATGTTAATAATGTTCTATGGTTCTTTACTTATTTTAATTGACACACGTTAATAATGTTCTGTGGTTCTCTACTTATTTTAATTGACACATATTAATAATGTTCTGTGGTTCTCTACTTATTTTAATTGACACATATTGATAATGTTCTATGGTTCTCTACTTATTTTACTTGACACACGTTAATAATGTTATGTGGTTCTCTACTTATTTTAATTGACACATGTTAATAATGTTCTGTGGTTCTTTACTTATTTTAATTAACACATGTTAATAATGTTCTGTGGTTCTTTACTTATTTTAATTGACACATGTTAATAATGTTCTGTGGTTCTTTACTTATTTTAATTGACACATGTTAATAATATTATCCTGAGGATCATCTAAGAGCACTTGCCAGGTTTGGCACTGATCAGTCCAGCAGTTTGCCAGTTATAAGCAAACATGCAGACTTTTCTCAATTGATAGTTTAGATTTTGTGTAAAGTATAACTGTAATGAAAATGTAATTTTGCAGTATTAATGATTTTTAGTGATAAATTCACAATATAAGATATTAACATAATAAAAGAAAAGAATGAAATCAAGTTGGCTTTTAAGTTGAAAAAATATCCACATGGTCCTTATTCTGAGTAATACATGTATTTCCCAAATTCATTTTAATGCAATTTGTTTAATTGGTTGAGCTTATTATCCAGTTATAAGTTAGCAAAATTTGCTCAGCTCTCACTGGAACTCTGGCTAAGTTTTGTACTCCATATCTGTTATATTCCGATATGTAACTTTGGAACTCTGGCTAAGTTTTGTACTCCATATCTGTTATATTCCGATATGTAACTTTGGAACTGTGGCTAAGATTTGTACTCCGTATCTGTTATATTCCGATATGTAACTTTGGAACTCTGGCTAAGTTTTGTACTCCATATCTGTTATATTCCGATATATAACTTTGGAACTCTGGCTAAGTTTTGTACTCCATATCTGTTATATTCCGATATGCAACTTTGGAACTCTGGCTAAGATTTGTACTCCATATCTGTTATATTCCGATATGTAACTTTGGAACTCTGGCGAAGTTTTGTACTCCATATCTGTTATATTCCAATATGTAACTTTGGGACTCTGGCTAAGTTTTGTTCTTTATATTTGTTATATTCCGATATATAACTTTGGAACTCTGGCTAAGTTTTGTACTCCATATTTGTTATATTCCAATATACAACTTCCAGCCACTGGTGCAAATAGATACTAGTCAGATGTATTTTTCTCTCATGATTCTTTTCAGGTCATGCATGTTTACACTTTTACATGTTCAGGTTACCATTTCCAAACTGCAAGTTATGAAAAAAAAGTTTGTATTCTGCAGTGATTATAGGTGTTTATTCTGTAGAGACATCACTTTGGTCTTGGTAAAAGAGTAGCCCAAGAGTTGGCGGTGGGTGGTGATGACCAGCTGTCTTCCCCCTAGTCTTACACTGATAAATTAGGGATGGCTAACGCAGATATCCCTAGTGTAGCTTTGCACGAAATTCAAAAACAAACAAACAATCTCTATGAAATAATTCTACCATGAGTGTCTGAAAGACATATATATATTGAAACACTTGTCACATCTTTACAAGGCTAAACAGTTACAAAGCACATAAAGCCAGGGCTTTCAAACTCTGGTTCCAATGGCACAAGTGGATGAGAATGTTAACTCGTTCCTCCCTGGATGGGATGCCAGTCTATTGCAGGTTAACCTCTCAGCTAACAGCCCATCATACAGCTGGATAGACTGGAACAAGTTTAGAAAAGTGGGTACAACAGCATGGCACAGGCCAGCCTTGAACTCTCATTCACCTGACTACAAGTTCAAAGCCGTACTTATGTAATAAGTAATACCATATTTTACTCTTTGCTGCATTTTTGTTTTGTCTTTCACTTCAGAGTTTTGAAGTGTTAAACATTAGTAATGCAAAAAAGTAGGAAATTGTTAGATACAACATTTATTTTTTCAGTAAAATACAATACAACTTTAACCAAATGGTAAAATAAACAGACTACATGCGAAAATACTAGAAATTACTCAAAACCTATAATTACACAATAGTGAGAAGTAAATAAATGTATTAATATAAGATATTTATATATCCTTAAAGACATTGTAAATTCAGAATTGTTTTTGTTATTATAACATTTATTTTTAATATTACTTTCAGGATGATCCCCTGTCTGCTCTCGATGCGCATGTTGGAAGACACGTCTTTGAACATGGCATCAAAACACTTCTGTTACGTCGCTCTAGAACTGTCATTATGGTTACACACAGAATGGAATGCTTACCATTTGCAGCAAAGGTAGGTAATATTTGTTCTGTTTTTTTTTGGAATGTTAAATTGTTTAGCCACGTTATTAGGATCTCTACTTAACCTTTTTGCAATGGGTAGGTCAAAGTGCATGTGTCACAACCTTTTACAGAGATACATTCAAAATTTAATGAAACTATGTTATCAATTTATACAAATAAATTTGGCATCAAAACACAGTTAATAAATCAAATTATAATATTATTTAAGTTTTAAGTTCTTAACTTTATAAGGAAATATTT